TCTGAAGAAGGGTCTAGTCCCGAAACGTCAGCTTTCCTGCTCCTCTGATGCTGCTTGGCCTGCTGTGTTCATGCAGCTCTACACCTTGTTATCTCAGATTCTCCAGCATCTGCAGTTCCTACTATCTCTGTTTTTTCTAGTCTGCATTTCCTGTTTAAAGGATATTGGGAGCTTGAATTCAAGAATTCTTCTAAGTGGCTTTTCATCCTAATTTAGTGTTGATATTCAGTAATGTTAGTCAGGATTTTCCTGTTGATGGTAGGGCTGGAGCCTGGACTCTTGTAGTGTTGGCAAGGTAATAGCACAGCAGAGCCAGGGTCCCCTTGGGTGTTGGTGTCATTGTTGCTGTTCCCAGAGCAGGACTTCTTGAAGACCAGAATTACTTGCAGGTGCCCTAAACCTGTACTTGAGGCCCCAATTTGGACAGAAGATGAATTCTTATTTAAGTAATTTCTCTTTATCCTTATCGTAACTCAAAATGGTGCCAGATAGTGGAGACAAAACACATTTCACTGTATCTTCAAGATATATGTGTCAATAAATCTTTCATAAATCCTTTGCCTGAAATTTCTTACTGGAGAGCTTAATCTTAATCAAGATATTATACTGCAAAATGGGGGAAATCACAAATTTGAATTTGCAAAGGCAATTTGGAAGAGATTCCGCATTTGCAAGTGTCATATTGTCAGATGTCTGTAGTATCAGCAGAAATTTTAATTAGTGCATCATTGATATTTCCAAGCTCATCCACAGACGTGCCAAGTCATCAAATTTACTCTGCCATCTTGTTTGACTGAATGGTTTCAGAGTTAGACAATGCACACGGTCACATGTAACTTCCCAACAGCACGTTGAATATGAAAAAATAATGTTGCAACAGGAACTATTTCACTCCAAACAACACAGCATCTCTGACAGCCAAACGCAGGGAATTTGTACCATAAGGAACAAAGGAAATACACACCCCAGGATGCATTTCTTTTTTGTACACCATTATCTTTACTCTTCGTATTAATCTCATTGGCACAGCCTTGGCCAGGTAAGCTCTCAATCGATAAAGACAATCTTTCAAGCTCTTGTAGAATACATTCAGACATAAAAGCACTAGTCGTCCCCTTCAATGGTGCAAACTCCAAAATATGGTTCCTTTTTGGTCACTTTAGCATTATCCTTGACTGCAAATTTTGCTGCATCTACAATGTGAATGATCATTGTCATCTGCTTGATATGACTCACAATTGGTGTACAATGCTGAATTAATGAAAAGTATTTTGCAGAATGGACAGCTTCTAAGATTTTTCTTTTTAGTAGCGTTGGATAGGCAATGAGACAAGTCATCCTGCAGTTTTTCCAATTTAATCAACATGAGTTTCATGATTGGATTGATCAAAGTTAAGTATTCAATACATTTTAAGACATTTCTGTCACCTGAACTGTATAATTTTTAATTTGTCCCATTGCACGCAAGGTTTTGCCCACTGAGAATTCGTACTGTAGCAGCTGGATGCTCCAATATTTGGCTCCAGTATTCTTCTTCTGATTACTTCCTTCATCAATAGTTTTCTGTTTTTTTTTCAATCACAGTTCATGTTCTGTCCAATTTTTAAAATATTTTCCATATATTCAGGCCTTTTTTTAAACGAGAAGACGGAATTGGAGATATGGTTTTCCAATCCTGTGAACTGTTTTCAGTAATTGAGGTACCTACACTATAGGAAGGATGTCAAGGATTTGGAGAGGTTGCAGAAGAGATTTACCAGGGTGTTGCCTCAATTGGAGCATATTAGCTATACAGAGAAGTTGAACAAATTTGAGTTGTTTTTGCTAGAACATCGGAGGCTGAGGAGTGACCTGATACTAATATATAAAATTATGAGGCATGGCTAGGGTAGATGGTCAGAGTCTTTTTCCCAGGCTGGAAATCTCAAATACTAGGCAGCATAGGGTTAAGGTGAGAGGGGAAAAGTGTAAGGGAGATGTGCAAGGAAAGTCTTTTATGCAGAGGGTGGTACATGCTTGGAATGCACTGCCAAGGAAGGTGGTGGAAGCAGATACGTTAGCAAAGTTTAAAGGGCATTTAACAGACACATGGACAGATGGGGAATAGATGGATATGGACCATGTGTAGGCTGATGGGATTAGTTTAGAAAGTCATCATGCTCGGCATAGATATGGTGGGCTGAAGGGCCTTCCTGTGCTGTACTGTTCTATTGTATGACTGCTAAACAGCTTACAGCAGAAGCAATACACTGAGCTTTTGACACTATATTTTAACCACTGTCAATGTCTTTTTTCTCCATTGGGGAGTTTCTTCTTGTAGTGTTGTGCAGAGAATTTTCTTTTTTCATGCCCATCTCTCAGGAAATAAAAGGACTGAAGTTGTTTGGGTTGTTTGGGTCCATATTCCATTAGAATTTGTTATGCACAGTCTAGGCCATGTAGCAGGATCTTCACACTGTAACTTGCTTGCAAGTTCATTTTCCAGTTATCTACTGTCTGTCCCCTTGTTTTTATTTTACTTCAACCTTGCCACATATCTGTTAATAATGTTTCCTCAACTTCAGTGTTAGTTTGATGCTGTGAGCTGTCTTGATCTTGAAGTGAACTGCCTTCATCTTGAAGTAAAGACCTCAGCCAGATTTCTTGTGTCCTCCAATACTGCCACACATTATCTCGTGCTTTTTGTCTTACACTGCACCAGCTCACCTGTAGATGTTCTTGTGCTATCTATATGTAACACAAACCAACATGGATTCTGTTCACTTGAAGATCTCTGGTCAGTTTACTTATAATTAAACCAGTACAGAGTAATCTCCAGATGCAGCTTTTGCCTAGGGCGCAGACATGTGGTTCCTGGTCATGTGATGAAATCGGGGATCTTAAAGCTTGCATGGTAAGCTTCTTAAAAGGACATCATCCTTAAAACAATAAACGAACATCCCTTTATTTCACCAAATATAATGCTGATATATAAGTGAAAACACTTAAACATTAAGTAATAACAAGATTAGTTATTCAGAAATAAGGGTTGTAAATTTTATGAGCACAGAAGTCCTAAAACCCACAGATCATTATCATGATTTCAGATCATGTTGTGGTGTAATTTTTGGAAATGTGAATCTTGCCCTTGGCTGTTCTTGCTTCACTGGCATATGATCAGTGTGTTGGTTATTGTCCTGGTGCTGCGTCACATTGTCATTGTCTGGGCATTTTCTTTGTGTTTGCTTTGCACATGTTGGGTATTGTGCATTTCCTTAGCCTCCAGGCCTGACCTCACAAAAAAAACAAAGCTTGCGTGGTCTGTACTTTTCTTTTTACCACAAGCTGTCCCAAAGTCCACAAGTCATTTCCAGCTCAAATTTCAGAACTATTTTTAAAAAATGAAAAATCAGTGGGAGTCCTTATATAATGGTGACAATGTTACATGGTTCAATACCTATTGGCACATATCCCTGAAAGGTTTGTCCACACACTGTGGTGCGTTGTCAGAAATTATATCTTCAAGTGCTTCGAACAGGCTGAATGTGTCATTCAATGTGTCTGCCTTGGGTGTGCTTGAAGTACTGTTCACTTGTCTAACAATTGGAAATTTGGGGAAATAATTAGTGACTAAGGTAAGGTTGTCTCCATTTGTGGTAAATACATAGGTGGCAATATTGGACCAAAGTGCAGGTTGAATTTCATGTGGGTGGAACGATTCGCTATATTGCTGTGCCTGGCAGCTTTAACATGCCTCCTGCATCCTCAATAACTTTTCATTCATCATTGATCACCTGGCCAATGGACGATATCACATGCATGTCATTTCATCTGCTCTATACTCCTCTGTCCTTGGTATAGTTGGGACAATATATCCTGGTGAAGAGTTTCAGGTGTAATTACTTGTTTCCTTTGAAAGTTACACCTCATCGGAAACGGAGCTCATCTCTGTAAGACCAAAAGCACGTGAGAGCGTTTAACACCTCTCTCATCATGTTGAGTCACTGTTCACTGGTAACTTTTCATAGCGCGTTTACTTATGAGTCATTAGCTGTTTATGATTGAAGTTGGGTACAATTATGCTGACCAAATGTAACAGATCGATTTTGAGCACACCTTTCACCCCCACGTCCATGCTGTCGATTAGTCGATGTACTGGAATGTGCGCATATTTGTTCAAATTTGCGTCATTATGCTGTGTATTGTGAAGTAGACTGTGTAATTTATCTATATTTTTAATATTGCTTGCTTTTTGTAAGTTTGTGTTTTTGGGTTTTGGGTGAGTAACATGGGGGCTTTTCTGCGTAGATAGTTAATAATTAACTTGCGAGCATTTCTGTAGCCATAGTGATCTCAGTGAACACAGTTTTTGATGCTCGGCTTTAGGATTATGTGATTTTATGCACGTTGGGAGGGGTTTACAACTGAACAAGGTAAACATGCTCAGGAGAGGTTTTTGTTCAGGCTTAAGGAAAACACCATGTCTTATATAAGACATATGGTTTTGCTTTTAGTTTTCCTTTGAGTGTTGGGCAGTCCCCTGAAATCCATCAATGAAGATTCTTGCATACACGAGTGTTTGTGAGAAAGGGAAGGACATAGTGAAACTAGATTGCCTCAGAGTAAAATGTGAATGTTATTCACGAACCAAAAATGTTGGTGTTAAAATCATGAAGAGGTTATTCGAATCTAAGTACATTTAAGCTCACTTGCATGAGTAACTCCTATGATGCTGCTTGGCCTGCTGTGTTCATCCAGCTCTACACCTTGTTATCTCAGATTCTCCAGCATCTGCAGTTCCTACTATCTCCAAAAAAAAACTGTCTGCTGATCAAGTCTATAAGTTAAAGTCAGAAGTGACTTCAACTTTTGAAGGAGTTAGTGACAGGGAGTCTGCATGAGTGGTGTTTTTGGGTACTATATAAAGCTGTCATTTCTCTTTTCAATTTTTAAAAGAGTGTTTTAGGATTAATAGGAATGTGCTGTGTTTAAAAATTTTTGAATTTGTGTTATAAGGAGATGATTTGGTTTAGTCTGTTTTATCATAATTTGTTTGGCTAATAAATGTTAGTTTTATTATTAAAATTAAATTTGCAATGTTGCGTGCTTATATTTCAGTGAGAAACCACTTTGTTAAAAGAAAACAAACAAAAAATCTATCAAGCCAGGTTTCAATCCGGCATCTGACTTGTCCAGTACCAACATCAGTTAGGATCATAACAATGTGGTTGAGGCAGTATGGTGGCTCAGTGGTTAGCATTGCTGCCTCACAGTGCCAGGAGCCTGGGTTCAATTCCACCCTTGGGTGACTGTCTTTATGAAGTGTGCATGTACTCTCTGCATGGCTTTTCTCCTGGTTTCCTCCAAAGATGTGCACATTGGTCATGTTAAATCGCCCATAGTGTCTGGGGGCTATGCAGGCTATGTGGATTAGCTATGGTAAGTGCTGGGTTATAGGGCAGGGCAGGGGAGGTGGGTCTGATGGGATGCTCTTCAGAAAGTCGGTATGGACTTGATGGACCAAATGGCCTTCTGCCACACTGCAAGCATTCTATGAATGTCCAAGGTAACAGTGCAGTGAAGCACATGGTTGATAATGTCTTTGCATTCCATTTCCTCCAACTCCCAGTAAAGCTTTTCTTGTATGTGAATAGAAGAATCGATGGATGGAATTGCTTTATCTTTGTGGAGCAACACACTTTCCTATGGCATCAGATCGAACTCAGTGCATACATTCTTCTGCTGCCCTGGGTGCACACTGGTGATCTTATGGATAGTCACATTATTGAGATCCGTGCACACTGGTGGTCTGTCACTACTAGCCTGCTCATGTGTTTGAAGTAAAATATTTGTTGTTTCCATGCCAAATTGCCATTGTTGCATTGTATTTTTAATGACCCAATGTAAAGGATGAGTGAACCATTGAATGCAATTAGTTTTGCAATTGTCAGTTGCACTATTGAGTTCCAACAATCCAGGCACATATCCTTCAGAATTCGGACTGGTGGGACATCTGCACTAGCTCCTATGTCAATTTTTACTTTGTGTGCGTGATTGGACATTTGATATCAATTAAGGCAAACGTTTCTGGTTGTCTGACTTTAACCACACAATGTATTACATTCTGAATGTGGAAGGCTTGTTTATTCTTTGTTTGGGAGCTGTTCCATGCTGGATCTTACCTCAGGTCTGTCTTGCAGTGAACTTTGTGAATTGCCTCATGTTTATACAGGTTTCTCAGTGCACTCCTTGCTGCTGTTGCCATATTTCTACATCTGTCTTCTGTTTGAGCGTGCCCTTTTTGGAGCCAGACGCCTTGCAAAGGCTGGCACAGTCTTCTTGTGTACCATACTTCTTCTAAGTCTTGGAAAGAGGCACAGCTTTGCAGTGGACTGCATTACCACACAACCTGTTTGTTTCATTCTGTCCTCATTAGAGCCTGTTGACTGCATCTAATGCTTATAGGTGCTGTTGTCCAGCTACAATGTTTTCATATTTTCTGCTAGCTGTGAGCAGTGTTTCAGTGTTGACCTTTCTTTTTTTCCAAGTGGTCTTTTTGAAGAGCTTCAATGGGTGTTGAGGGAATCACAAACTCTACCATTGGCTCCAACAGTTTATCCTCTGACAAATCATATTTGCCACTGTTGTTAGCGTGTCTATTCACAAACTGATCTTTTGTTCCCTTTGGCTTTAGCCTAGTGGATATCGATTTTAAGTGATGAATTCCAAAGTTGGCCCTTACATGCAGCTGATCTTTTTGCATTTTCCGTATCTTTACAGGATCTTTCTCTTCTCTTCAAATAAACCCGAAATATTGACTGTGTGTAGCCACTCATTTCCAACTGCTAGCAAAACTTTCATAGCTTGTCAAACAGTTCTGTAGTGAGGCCCAGCTGCATTCTTTGTTTAAAAAGTTTAAACTCAGCCTGAACGTCAGTATCTTTTGAGGACAGCCATGAATTGCTGATCATTCAAACTTCTAAAAGTGCCATCAGTCCATCTTATTTCCGTGGCCGAGAGATTTGGTACCCATCCATTTGTTATTCTTTTGTCTTTTTCAGACACTGCTGATCTGCAGGTATGTGTCAGTAATTCTGTTACTTTTTACTTTTGCTTTGTTTAATTTTTTACACTTCTTGTGTGTCTTCAGCACTGTACTTGGTGTTCATTTTCTATTTTCGGCTTAAAAACTTATTTCAGCATTTAGTACGGGTTGCAGCCGTTTTGTCCAACTCAATGAGTTTTCCAGTCTTCTTCTTGTGTTTGGTACTTATTTTTCTCTGTTTGCTGAACTGTGTCAATGCCTGGATTACCATTATGTTTGCTTTTTGTCCCTTTTTCATTCTCCCTTTTCACTTGAAAGAAATTAAGCACTGCTGTACATGCTGTAGTAAGTTCTTATGCTATCTGTATAGAACAACGAAAATAAGCTTTCAGTTTACTCGAAGATCTCTGGTGGGATTATTTACAGCTCAACTAGTAATGACAGTGTAGCATAGTCCCTAGACACAGCCCTTGCTAGAGTGCTATCATGCAAAACGCCTGTGACTTCTGGTCATATCATGACAACCAGGTCCTTGGCTCATCTGCATGTTAGGCTTCTTAAAAGTACATCATTTTTAACGCAATAACACATCGCCAGTTCTTTTTGAACTTTCTTTAATTTAGGGATCTAATTCACATCTGTGCCAATATTTATGCTCTTTATCCAAAACCATCCAGTTGTTAGGTAGATCCAGCTATCTGTTTCTGAAGGACTCCTTGCTTGTCTGCATGGCATGAAATGCTGATTGTCCAATCTTTCCAATAATGCCATCTCACTTCCAGTGACACAGTACCACCATGAGAAATTCAGGACTATGAAATTCCCAACACTGAAGCAGTTGGCATGTGCTGGTGTTAGCTCTTCAACTGGGGGTCCATTGTAATTCCAACTCCCTATCCAACTTCTTGACCCTTTTTATGTTCTGTGTTTTCAAACACTTACTAAATTCTGTGTTTGGTTCTGTTTATTTCCAGTATTTTCATGTCTGTTCCAATAGTTACAGCAATGAGTACAGATAAACCAGAAAGCATGAAACAAGTTACAGAGCAATGTAATTACTTTGTTGGGGAAAATAATTAAGACCTGAAAAATCAACCATTTCAGTTGTTTATAATCAAGGTGGTTTTGAAGTGCCTGTGTTAGGTAATAAAAGCAACTTTTCAATTCAGAAGAATGGAGAACACATAAAACAGATTTAAATTCTATAACACCAACAAAATTTGGTAATATTCATTGGGAATATGGATAAATCATAAGAAAGGGGCAAAAGACAGAAGACATCCCAAAGCACTTTACATTAAATGAAATACTCTTGAAGGGCAGTCACTCCTGTAACATGGGAAACCAAGTCACAAATTTGTTAATTGCAAACTCCCACGGACAACTGAGATGCCAATCAAAGCATCAATTTTAATGATTAGCTGAAGGATAATTTAGGCCAAGTCACCTCCGTAAAGCTGTTTTTTACAGCAGTGCTGTAAGACTGTTTAATGTCCAATTGATTGTTGAACATTTTAAAAGTTTAAAAAATGGCATGTCTGACAGTGTAGCATTTCCTTAGTAGTATACTGAAACGTCAGTCTGGATTGTGTGAATGTATCTCCGAAGTGTAATTTGAACCTGCAGATTAATAGAATCGGAAACTGATAATATTGAAAGTCAAGCTTTTAATTAATGTACTTGCAATTTTCTTTTCCCTCCTGATTTCCTGTGAGAAAATACTTTGACTAGAGCAACAAATGCAGTTCATTTATTTGTTTGTTCAACAATTGCTGATATGAAGCATTCCAAGAAGGATGTGAGAGAGTACAGAACAGATTTGAGAATACTAGGAGTGAAGAACTTCAGTCATGAGGAAAGATTGAATAAGCTGGGGTTGTTTTCTTTAAACAGGAAGGTAGAGGGGAAATTTACTTGAGGTGTATACAATTATTGGTGGTCTAGGATTGATTGAAAATATATATTTCCC